GGCTCAATTTGTGGAAATCCTGTGATCACTCATCGTCTTTAATGTTGTGATTCACAGACCCACGATGACCATGATTTGAATGACATTGAGGGACACCCTGAGACCCCAAGTATGACTGGAAATGGGACGGATATTTGTGACAATGACTTAAAAGGGGTGCAGAAGCACACCAGCACCCCATTTGATGTTTATTCCATGGCCAACCATCCCTCTAGCTACCCCTTATTCCACTATGCCTTTTATGCCCCATGGTCCCTCAACTTCGAACATTTTGGAACTCTCCATCTTATCTCTATAAACCCACCCTACCTTCACCCATCTTCCCTATGCTGCTTCCTTAACTGGTTCTTCTCCTGATTTGATAACATCTAGACTCAGTAACACGTTTAAAAGTTTTGTGGTGTACTGTTTTTGCTACTTTTCTTTCACCTGTGTAAAGCTGTCCTGCGTATTCTGGGGTTCAGGCTGAATGCAGTGGTAAATGTGCTGCTCACAATTGACAGCAGCAACATTTAATTGACAAGACGGGTGTTGATATAGCTGTGTTTAGGCATGGCTTCCTTGTTTTGTTCCTCATTCTGCTGGAGTTGACCTAGTATTTTAATATTAAACCTACCTTACGCATCCAGTTGTTTCTCCATTTGTAACTCACCCACCAAAAATCACAATACACTGTTTTACATTTTGTGTTATTTGTGCTGGTCAAATTCCTAAAATGGAAAAGCAGAAGCATCTGTGCACTCTCTGATAGTAATAATAGTTCATATGGTCCTCTTCAATGTCCCAGGTTTGTGGCATTGATTAATAAATAATTTCATCTTTACTTCAAGTCAGATGTTTATACAGTATGTTATGTATGAAAGGCATACTGAATGTATGCATTGTTTACAATTTTGATTTCTTTAAAACAATGTAATTGTTGGAGTTCAGGTGTTTGATGTGATTGATGGGTGACTAGGTGCATTCTTGTCAAATAAATATGCTTATTCATACCTGATTATGTATACATTCTGCAATGAGTTAATCTGGCTTTAAATCGGCAAGACTTAACAGAACATGTCCACAAGTTAGTTCTGAATTGCTTTAATGCAGCCGTGCATTCTGAAACCATGACTTGAAATAGATTTCTCCTCATTCATATAGTTGGCAGAAATGATAAGGGATTAAATATAGACCTCCACTGGCTGAAGGAGAAGAGGTTCTGGTAAAATAAGGGTATGTTGCTAGTATCATTTAGGTAGCTAGCTAGCTAGCTTCTTTGGAGAAAAAATAGTCTAGTATTCATGGCACATTGTAAATATCTGACTGCTACTAGGATTGTATTCTGTACAAGACCAAATGCATAAATAAGACAAATATTAGTTAAACCAAATATGTAACAGTAAATGAAAATGTTCAACCCATACACAAAAATGTATGTACGCATGACTGTAAGTCGATAAAAGCGTCTGCTAAATGGCATATTATTATTATAATATATATTTTGGATCAATGTACAGTGGGGAAAAAAAGTATTTAATCAGCCACCAATTGTGCAAGTTCTCCCACTTAAAAAGATGAGAGAGGCCTGTCATTTTCATCATAGGTACACGTCAACTATGACAGACAAAATGAGAAAATAAAATCCAGAAAATCACATTGTAGGATTTTTTTATGAATTTATTTGCAAATTATGGTGGAAAATAAGTATTTGGTCAATAACAAAAGTTTCTCAATACTTTGTTATATACCCTTTGTTGGCAATGACACAGGACAAACGTTTTCTGTAAGTCTTCACAAGGTTTTCACACACTGTTGCTGGTATTTTGGCCCATTCCTCCATGCAGATCTCCTCTAGAGCAGTGTTGTTTTGGGGCTGTCGCTGGGCAACACAGACTTTCAACTCCCTCCAAAGATTTTCTATGGGGTTGAGATCTGGAGACTGGCTAGGCCACTCCAGGACCTTGAAATGCTTCTTACGAAGCCACTCCTTCATTGCCCGGGCGGTGTGTTTGGGATCATTGTCATGCTGAAAGACCCAGCCACGTTTCATCTTCAATGCCCTTGCTGATGGAAGGAGGTTTTCACTCAAAATCTCACGATACATGGCCCCATTCATTCTTTCCTTTACACGGATCAGTTGTCCTGGTCCCTTTGCAGAAAAACAGCCCCAAAGCATGATGTTTCCACCCCAATGCTTCACAGTAGGTATGGTGTTCTTTGGATGCAACTCAGCATTCTTTGTCCTCCAAACACGACGAGTTGAGTTTTTACCAAAAAGTTCTATTTTGGTTTCATCTGACCCAATCCTCTTCTGGATCATCCAAATGCACTCTAGCAAACTTCAGACGGGCCTGGACATGTACTGGCTTAAACAGGGGGACACGTCTGGCACTGCAGGATTTGAGTCCCTGGCGGCGTAGTGTGTTACTGATGGTAGGCTTTGTTACTTTGGTCCCAGCTCTCTGCAGGTCATTCACTAGGTCCCCCCGTGTGGTTCTGGGATTTTTGCTCACCGTTCTTGTGATAATTCTGACCCCACGGGGTGAGATCTTGCGTGGAGCCCCAGATCGAGAGAGATTATCAGTGGTCTTGTATGTCTTCCATTTCCTAATAATTGCTCCCACAGTTGATTTCTTCAAACCAAGCTGCTTACCTATTGCAGATTCAGTCTTCCCAGCCTGGTGAAGGTCTACACTTTTGTTTCTGGTGTCCTTTGACAGCTCTTTGGTCTTGGCCATAGTGGAGTTTGGAGTGTGACTGTTTGAGGTTGTGGACAGGTGTCTTTTATACTGATAACAAGTTCAAACAGGTGCCATTAATACAGGTAACGAGTGGAGGACAGAGGAGCCTCTTAAAGAAGAAGTTACAGGTCTGTGAGAGCCAGAAATCTTGCTTGTTTGTAGGTGACCAAATACTTATTTTCCACCATAATTTGCAAATAAATTCATTAAAAATCCTACAATGTGATTTTCTGGAGAAAAAAAATCTCATTTTGTCTGTCATAGTTGACGTGTACCTATGATGAAAATTACAGGCCTCTCTCATCTTTTTAAGTGGGAGAACTTGCACAATTGGTGGCTGACTAAATACTTTTTTTCTCCCACTGTAGTTAGTAGCTAGAAATAAAGTGCAGGAGCTTGTAGGGATTTGTAGTCTTGCATGATGTCTACTTTGATGCTGATAAGCTTTTTTGAATCTGAGAGTAAATAGAGTGGAATATATTGCTAAGAGTCACGTTATCTGAGAGAGATTTAAACGGTTATCAAAACGTCACGCCAGAGAAAGCCTACATGAAACACCAACCTTGTTTGAAGTGGTTCTAAAATGCCCTATGGGAAAAATTAATGGTGAAAAAAAAGGTTTGGAACCATTTCCATGTTTGACCGCTAGGTTTTATGGGTATTATGATGCAATCCACTGTGGGGGCTCTGTTGCTTGGGTGGGCTGGGCACCCCCATAATTGTCAAATTTCCCTTTACATTTAGATTCAGTATCCCTGTCTGAAGACATATTGTATGCATTAGAATATAGAAAACTTACCTTATTCCCCTATAATCCACTTTTGGTTATATTTTGAGTGAACTATCCCTTACATTCAATAACAAGCAATTAAATATTTCTTATAATGAAAATGTTTAGTATGACAGGGAAATTGTATTATTTACAAATAATGAAAACGCTACAATCATGTTTTTACAATAATTTATACTGAAATTACATTTCCTATAGTGATAAGAGTTACTTACTTCCCATGGATTTTAATGTTCAATCAAGAGTCATTCTAGCATCTCTATCAAGTGTCATGAGTTTATTTCATGAAATGCTTAACAACCCACAGTGCTAAGTCTGGAGACTGATGGCCAGTCACGGCCCAAGCTTTCTATGTATAGATTGAAGGCTCAAGGCCATGGATTTGCAATCTGATAAAAAGCAACCAGGTCAAGTGGTCATCCCATATGGTGATATAACATTTAGGCCAATTATTTGAGAGTATGGGAGTCAAAAGATGCAAAAACACAATATCCACAACCATATTTTACTATGGAGAAGGGCATATTCCAGCATCTGCATCACTTTTGCAGCACAAAATAAGCACTTGAGAGCATGACCCACCTGACCATAAGAAACAATCTCTGAATTACAATACACAATACAATACTTTTCAACCTTGTTCACCATTCAAACTCATGTTATGCCAGTCACATCCAATGCCCTATGAAAATTTAACAAGCAAGATACAGTATATCAAAAAGGATAGACATGACAAACCGTTTTCTAATCTTCTTTGCAAAGCGAAGTACAAATGTAAATTTTTTTTTCAAAAACTTCAGCCCCATATTCAATTAAGTCCAGTGACTGGAATGGGTTTTCCCTCATACTTCCTGTGCTTATACGAATAGCATAACATATGAGACACTTGGCTGACAGAAAATAAATATATAGTGTATATTTTAGAGCGATAGGCACTTTCTGTGAGCACGACTATGTACAGTGTAATGCATTAAACGGCTTAAAATTCCTTTCAAAGCTGAGAAAGTAAAATAGTCTTTTAAAAAACAACTTAAAACTGTGTTAAAACAATAACTTCAACTTTCTTTTGAAATGTATTCCATTAGTAATGACTTGATTAACAGAAATGCATATTTTATGATAATGTATCTACAGATAACTGCCTAAATAAAGTAAACACCAACATAAAGTGTCTTAATAGGGCGTTGGGCCACCACGAGCCAGAACAGCTTCAATGCACCTTGGCATAGATTCTACAAGTGTCTGGAACTCTATCGGAGGGAGGCGACACCATTCTTCCACAAGAAATTGCATAATTTGGTGTTTGTCATACTATGGGGCATATCCATGGTTGCCAAAATGATGGCCATAATAATGGCCTGCCTGGCATTTTTATACATGACCCTAAGCACGATGGGATGTTAATTTCTTAATTAACTCAGGAACCACGCCTGTGTGGAAGCACCCGCTTTCAATATACTTTGTATCGCTCATTTACTCAAGTGTTTCCATTATTTTGGCAGTTATCCGTATGTCCCATTTGAAGCCTTCAATAAAGACAGTGCATGGGTTGCATGCATGTCCAACCAGTCAACTAGTTATCTCAGTACAGTCTTTTTTTCCGTGCAAATTTTCTTCAATGAAGGGGCTCCTGATCCCTCCTCTTCTTCCTGTTAGAAATATTGGTATTTAAATAAATTGATTATGGTGATTTCTTTCATGTTATTATTAAGAGCTTAAGCCAATCACAACTTTTTTGCAGCAAATGTATTTTATTTTTTAAACACTAATAAAAATGGTCATATCCTTTATTACTATAGAAAATGACTTACCTCTTTGCATGGAGCTCTTACTCGGACACCAAGGGGCAAAACCAGGTCCTCCTTGATCAATGTGGGAGGCTCATCAGCAACTTCATGTGCTGGCTGGGACGGTTCTGCATATAGAGTGAAAGACTGAGTTAAACACTTAAAAGGCATTGAGATATTAACTGTAATATAGCCAATATAGTATACCTCAGTTACAGGAGTGACATAATAGCTAGGGCCCAGAGTTTTTCCTAGTCAGGTTACAGGGTCTGGAAAAGCTCCTGGCCCTACATGGGTGCACTGTGCAGTGTGATGGTGTAGTATGCTAAGCCAACTGTACCGTCCACACTCTCCTGGCCCAGCATGGGTGGTTGAGTGTCTTCGGCCATGCGGAGTGTTGTGGTGTGAGGAAGAGGACTGACTGCCTCACTGGCGTGCTGGGAGCTGGAGCTGCTGCTGTCCATTTTGGGCTGGTAGACATCAGACAGGAAACTCTGGTTGCTGCATTCATCTGCGGTGAAGAGAACAGGGGCAGTCTTGAACGGTATCATTTTCAATTCAGGAGGTAAATTGAAATTCCAAATAAAAAGTATGTAAAAATATTTGTATATCTGCATTTAGTGAATTTCCATGGAATTTCCCCCAACCCTGTTATATAGAGTATTGCAGTGCTGTAAAACCTGATCCAAACACAGTGGTGCTTGTGCTTCTCATAGTCAGTCAGTGCCTCACCAAGGAAATCCAAGGTAGAGCTGGTGTTTTCCAACACCACATCTTTTAGACCTCGAACCTCTCCAGTTATGGATTTGCTCCGGTATATCTGAAAGAGAAAAGGAGAGAGTAAAATAGAGCCAGCATGGCGAGGTTGTTCCATTCATGAACCATATGATAGCCTGATGCAGTCATCTTTTATTAGATACCATACCTGTTTAGTGTCTGTCACAGGCACCCACTTGAATATGCGTAGGGATGTGTCTCCCACAGTTACCCACTTCTTCTCCCTGAAAATGAAATGTAATAGAACAAAGAATATATCTACTACATTCAGTAACAAAAAGCATTAACCAAAGATTCTGCCGGGGTTCGCTCGTTTACTGGTGGCTATGCATATATGCATAGGGCTAGGCTATATAAATAGCCTATGTGTGAGATTATTTTATTTATATGTGCAAGTGCATTTTTTGCCTAATATTCCTGAACCTCGCCGAGGGAAACTGCTCAGATGGACGATGTATATTTTCAATGTGGGTCACAGTTATATCAGAATGCGTAACACTGTAACAACATGTGGACAAGTGTAGCCATTTTGACAGATACTGAAAAATTCCGTTAGTCCCGCCCATAGAATTACCGGGCTTCGGCAGCCCCGTCTCTCCATTGGCTGTTGTTTCAGTCACTCACCAACCCTTCTAATATTTTCCGAGTGAAGTTTGTTGTGTAGCATTGCAGATGTTTACATTTCATTTACATAATCCCCGCGGTTTTACTTACCATTTACGCACTTTTTCAATTGCTGCCAGCACCTTTTTAATGTCATCTTTAGCACGACTTCGTGTCTCCGCGCGACCTGACCGTCCGGACATCTTTAGTTGTTGTTACTTTTTGGAGATGTCTTTTCTTGCAACTTCAAACTTGCAGTGTGCTTACTCCTCCAATAGGCTAATATTCTCGCGAGGTTTTAACACCCATTCTTTTTTCCTAATGGTTGGTTTGTCTGTTTTCTTCCTCCTCCCCATCATCTTTGATCTGACGTCATCACCTTACCATTGACAGTAAAATAATAGGTTGTTATCATTTTTACGTCATTTAGCAGACGCTCTTATCGAGAGCGACTTACAGTTAGTGCATACATTTTATTTATTTATTATTATTACCCCCCGTGGGAATCAAACCCACAACCCTGGCGTTGCAAACGCCATGCTCTACCAACTGAGCTACATCCCCTGCATGCCATTCCCTCCCCTACCCTAGACGACGCTGCTGGCCCAATTGTGCGCCGCCCCATGGGTCTCCCGGTCGCGGCCGGCTACTACAGAGCCTGGATTTGAACCAGGATCTCTAGTGGCACAGCTAGCACTGCGATGCAGTGCCTTAGACTACTGCGCCACTCGGGAGAGATGGAATTATGATGGAAATTATGGATATCTGGATATTTTAACCCCCATAAATGACATAAACATAATGAATCAAATTGGATATAGTGTTGATTTTACGAAGTTGATTTACAAAGTTCACTATCAGATTGATGGGATGAGAATCCTTGGGTATGATAGGAAGTGAGGGGGATGAAGAAACTACAATAGAAAGGGAGTGATGAGATCCAATTATGTACAGCTGGAGCTCCCTCCCTGCTTACTATCAATCATATGGCCAAAGATGTTTATAATACAGTATGTGTTATTATGGGCTTATCTTTTTAGTCTTGTAGAGGGTAGCACTGACCAATAAATACTGATATGACATGCATTTGTAAGCTCAGTTCTATTGAGCAAACCAGTGCTTGACTTGGACTGAAATTGGTGCCGGTACTCATTTTGTGTGCCGTTACTGTTTATATTTAGGTGCAGGAACTCTGCAATAGTTTTAAGGCAATATTCTATCAGAGGTGCAGGAACTGAAGCAGTAGAACATTTTAGGTGCAGGTACTCAGTTCCGGTGAGCTCCTGCCCAAGTCAAGCACTGAAGCAAACAAATATTGATTGGCAGGCTCAATCAGCAGGGTGAGATATTTTGTGTATCCTTTATGTATTCTGATCTTATCGCTGTGGCTAACTACCTCAACTAGGACTAGAAAAGACCCCGAACAGCGTAGCAGCAGAGCTGACCTGGATTTAAAAAACTGTATGTCCAATACTATGACTGTGCTTGATTTAGTTTGATTGGTACAACGGAACCAACGGGAAAATCCTCCAAACTAAATCAACCACACCTCATTTGACATTTCACCCAGCCAGATCAAATCAAATCAAATTGTATTAGTCACATGCTTCGAAAACAACAGGTGTGGACTAACAGTGAAATGCTTACTTACGGGCCTTCCCAATGATGCAGAGAGAAAGAAAATAGAGAAATAATAGAAAAGTAAAACACGTAATAATAAAAGTAATACTAGATACACAATGAGTAACGATAGCTTAGCTATATACAAGGGGTACCAGTACCGAGTCGATGTGCAGGGGTACGAGGTCATTGAGGTAGATACAGTATGTACATACTGTATACATATAACTATAATCCTCTGTAGCGCCTTGCAGTCGGATGCCAAGCAGTTGCCATATCAAGCGGTAATGCAGCCAGTCAAGATGCTCTCAGTGGTGCAGGTGTAGAACTTTTTGAAGATCTGAGGGCCCATGCCAAATCTTTTCAGCCTCCTGAGGGAGAAGAGGCATTGTCATGACCTCTTCGCGACTGTGTTGGTGGGTTTAGACCATGATAGATTCTTAGTGATGTGGACACCGGGGATCTTGAAGCTCTCAACCCGCTCAACTATAGCCCTGTCGATGTGAATGGGGGCGTGCTCGGCCCTCCATTTCTTGTAGTCCACGATCAGCTCCTTTGTCTTGCTGACTTTAAGGGAGAGGTTATTGTCCTGGCACCACACTGACTTCTTCCCTATACACTTTCTCATCGTCGTCAATGATCAGGCCTACCACCATCATGTTGTCATCAAACTTAATGATGGTGTTGGAGTTGTGCAGGAAGGGACTAAGCACGCACCCCTGAGGGGTCCCCGTGTTGAGGGTCAACGTGGTGGATGTGTTCTTGCCTACCCTCACCACCTGGGGTCGGCCCGTCAGGAAGTCCAGGATCCAGTTGCAGAGGGAGGTGTTCAGTCCCAGGGTCCTTAGCTTGGTGATGAGCTTGGAGGGCACTATGCTGTTGAACGCTGAGCTGTAGTCATTCTCACGTAGGTGTTCCTTTTGTCCAAGTGGGAAAGGGCAGTGTGGAGTGCAATAGAGATTGCGTCATCTGTGGATCTTTTGGGGTGGTATGCAAATTGGATTGGGTCCAGGGTGTCTGGGATGATGGTGTTGATGTGAGTCATGACCAGCCTTTCAAAGCATTTCATGGCTACAGATGTGAGTGCTAAGGGGCGATAGTCATTTAGACAGGTTACCTTGGCGTTCTTGGGCACATGGACTATGGTGGTCTGCTTAAAATCTGTAGGTATTACAGACTGAGTCAGGGAGAGGTTGAAAATGTCAGTGAAGACACTTGCCAGCTGGTCAGCGCATGCTCTGAGTACGCATCCTGGTAATCCATCTGGCCCTGCGGCCTTGTGAATGTTAACCTGTTTAAAGGTCTTACTCACATAGGCTATGGAGAGTGTGATCACACTGTCGTCCAGAACATCTGGTGCCCTCATGCATGGTTCAGTGTTGCTTGCCTCAAAGCAAGCATAGAAGGCATTTAGCTCCTCTGGTAGGCTCGCGTCACTGGGAAGCTCGCGGCTTGGGTTTCCCTTTGTAATCAGTGATAGTTTGCATGCCACATCCGATGAGCGTCATAGCCGGTGAAGTAGGATTCGATCTTAGTCCTGTATCGAAGCTTTGCCTGTTTGATAGTTAGTCGGAGGGCGTAGCGGGATTTCTTATAAGTGTCCGGGTGAGTGTCCAGCTCCTTGAATGTTTGAAAACCCAGATCGATGTCCATTAAATCTTGCAAGTCTGTTTCTGTTAGGGATTTTTAAGATGATGGACACACACACTGTTCACACACACACTATTCACACACACTATTCTATTCTACATCATAACATATCACTTAATGCATCAACATGGCTCTGCCTGATAATGAGGATACATATCAGTATGAAAATGTATGCACTCACTAACTGTAAGTCTGCTAAATAATAAGAGCGTCTGCTAAATGACTAAAATGTAAAATGTAAATATCAGATGGAGGTGACCTAGGGCCAGGAGTTTGCTCTGGTCAGGTCATAGATATAGCCTTACTAGGAACCAGAGTTTTTTCTGGTTAGGTCACAACCCATCTTCCCTCAATAAGAGGATATGAGAGCTCTTCACATGAGAGAATAAGTAACACACAGTACATTCCTGGAGATTCAATCCCAGTTGACAAACAAGACAGTAAGATAGGCACTGCCTAGCAGCACTACTGTCAAAGTACTGTACAGAAAACCAGCCTGTTGCCAGCTATCAAATATGAGAGGGCCAGCAGAAACCATGGAAATGATCTAATTCAAGGCCCACAGAAGTGGACTGGTGACCTGCAAGCTCCTGTGATCTACATAATGACATATTATAACCATATCCATAAAAACACATATTATGCACATATTATTAGACCATAGGGCGGCGCACAATTGGCCCAGCGTCGTCCGGGTTTGGCCAGGGTAGGCCGTAATTGTAAATAAGAATTTGTTCTTAACTGACTTGCCTAGTTAAATAAAGGTTAAATATATATATTTTTTTATATTATAACCACCATATTATTCATTTACTTCCGGAGATTAATTGTTTACTCTGATTCAAAAATTAATAGGCACTTGCATGCTGTGTCTATTATGTAGGCTATTGTAGCAAAAACTCAATTAGACACTGACTGTAGGCCTACAGTCATAAACATGGACTTTTCCTTCAGGCTTATCTATATTTACATTATCGTGATAAAGTCTGTACTAACAACCCAAACGCTATCATGCGCCTTTAATTATGCGTAATTACGCATCATATCAAAATCAATAATAGTCCAATAATATTAATGTAGGCGGGCACCAGCGGAATTCCAGCCAGTCGTTGACATTTCTGGGAGGAGTCTATGACAGTTCTATCTGGGCCATAGAGAATGATAGAGGCCTCTAGCGGCCAAAAGACCATAACCATGGGCAGCGCAATTGAGAGCTTCCACAATTTTAATGCAGTCAACGGGCTGGGATTTTCCAGCCTGGTCTCATAGACTAGACGTAACATAGTAAATGTAAATCCGGGATACTCAAATTAGTATGATGTTATGTTTGGCATGGTTAAATAAGACAGAAGGTATAACGCAAAGGTCTAGTGAAGGTCTGGGAAACCAAAGGTTGCGTGTTCGAATCTCATCATGGACAACTTTAGCTTTTTAGATAGTTAGCAACTTTGCAACTACTTAGCATGTTAGCTAACCTTAACCTTAACACTTTAACCTAAATCCTAACCCTAACCTTAACCCCTAATTTAGCTAACGCCACAACAAATTGGAATTTGTAACATATCATACTTTGGCAAATTTGTAACATATTGTACTAATTACAATTCCTAACATATTGTACGAAATACAATATACAGCATATCATACAAATTGGAATTCGTAACATATCATACCACATGGATGATGGACATCCACATATTAATACCTACTAAACGTAACATATACTAATTGGAGAGCATGAGGATAATATTTTTTAATCAGTTTAGTGCACCAGCAACCCCACCTTCCGTCAGGTTTAATGCTGCGTTTGTAACCAAGTGGGAAGTGGGAATTTACTACATACAACTGGGAAAATCCACTTGAACCGCCCTCCAACTGGTAATTACTAGTGGGAAACTTGTCTATCATCCTGAGCTCCCATTTCTCCCACATGCTGACCTCTGACGTCACCTACTAAGAAAATGACCTTGATAACAGCATTTTGGCAGTTAAATGCAAA